GCTGAATTTCATACCTCAACAACAAAGCTGATTTTTAATGTAGCAAAAACACACTAGACCAAAACCTACACACATGAGAAGAACATAATCTGAACCTAAAAAACAAATTAAGCATATTATATGATGGAGGCAGCTATAACCCAGAAGAAAGCCATCTTTATACTGACATCTCCCATCTATTCCCTCCAAGCAGTTTGTCCCTTTCTCATTTTCTAATCAAAATTTTGTAGGTACTTATCCTTCCAGTTTTAATAATTAGGCACAGTAAGAATTTATTTCGCTGCTGTGGCAATTAATCACTATTCCAAACAAAAATTATGTGGGTTACAGAACGTAATGTTTAAAGACAGAAAAATGACCAACACCCAGCAATTTAGTTCAATAAATGAAGGGTCGGCGAATTTCTTGACTGCCAAGCCACCATCAGCTTTTGCAGAACGGCTCTGTACCATGTATTTAGTTAATATTCGGAAATAAAGAAACTATTAGTAAATCTACAAATATAAAATCTCCGCATGGACTGGCCTTCCATTTTACTCTGAAAGGAAATTGTTCTGCATTTCTACGCAGCAGCTTACCTCCTGCACAGCAACGCCGGAAACAAAGTGAAAGTACGTTCTTTTCTGGAAGAACCACTTACGTAGTAATTAAGTGAATGTTGGAGGGGGAGCTGGTGAGGGGTTAGGGGTGGGAGTAAAGAACAGGTTGTGGGCCAAGAAGAAGCCAACACAGGCCGAAGTATGAGGACGTACAGGGTGTCTACAAGGTTTCGTTCCCCAATCTCTGTATCTGTGTCTCTTTTCGGTGATTTCTACCTTGCAGATGAGCGTTCTCAGCAGCATTTACAAAATCTTGCCATAGTCTGTTGTTCTCCAGAGGCTCACACAAGCAACGCAAGAAATACTTGACTGTCCCACACATGAGTTTTGACAAGTTGGAACGCCTTTACCTCGTAGAAATTGTTTCCCGTATGCCTACCATTCTACAACGTTATTTTCTGATTCTGTTGCAAGATTACTAGCAACATAAGCACACGTAACTGTAGGAACATGCAGTTTCTCCTACTAGTCATCTGTGCTACTCCTTTCCGGTGCTGCACCCTAGTAGCCAAATCCTTCATTCTGAATATCTAGAGCAGTGTGTCAGTGCACCACATCCAGCCTGAGACCGCTCGTAACCAGACCCACAAAATGATTTATTAGTTTGTTACTA